CATACATTATAGACATAGCCATTCCAAACACTCACAATGTACAAAACACATGCACTGAAAAAATTAGCAAGTACACAGAACTCGCCCAGGAAATAAGGCATCTGTGGAGGATGGAAAGGGTGCTTATTGTACCTGTTGTTCTCTCCTGTACAGGTGTGATACCACACACATTACACAAAAGCCTGTGAACATTACAATTGAATAGAAATACATACATCACACTACAGAAGGCCACTATATTGAATACATGCCACATTGTTAGGAAATTCCTGAATACGGACACTGACACACTTATTTAATTTTTGTTTTTGGTTGCTATGCCTTGACTCTGATCCGGCATAGTACACAGCCACCGGTGTGAACCGAGTAACCCACTAAACCCAACACAATAATAATAATAATGAAATAAGTTGAAGTTACCAAAAATATTTAATAATAATTAATTAGATATGTTTTTATCCTTAATTTATGTCATCTTCAACTAACTGAATAAATGGAATAGAATTGTTTTTATATTTAAAAATACAAAAATTTTGTAATTATTTGTAAGTTTTAAGTTTTAACTTGTATGAACAGAAAGTGCTTTTTATTTCTTTCTTTTGAAAAATGGAATCAATAAATTAGTCTTAAATTTATTTTTTTAGAAGATGAAGAGAAGGAGAGAAAAATCCATATAGAAATAAAACCACTTAGTAATGGTGCACCAATGAGTGCAAGTGTAGATGAACTGAGAGCTACTGTAGGAAATCTCACTTTGTCTCCCATTTCTCAACATGCTGTGAGTTAGTTTCAGAAAATTTTTAATACATAATCAACTGCTAAGATATTCATTTTTTTAAAGTGAATTAATTTATGAAGTTTATTTATTTTGTATTTTTAAACTTAATGTAAGAGTTTATTTTATATCAAAATTGATAGATGTTACAGACTATGTATTATTTATAAGAATAATAAATATTTTTTGATTAGTATTAATTTTTGTTATTATTCAGAATGTTATTTATTTGATTTAAAGTACAGATTAAAAAAAGAACTAATAATAATTGTTCTTTAAAAAAGTTCATTTTTATTTTAAAATTCTTAAAAATAATAATAAATAAACTTTAGCTATTTTTAGCTATCCAAATAATAAAAAATGAATTTGATCATGTAGAATTATATTGTATAGTTAACTAGCACTATATATAAAAACAAAAAAATTAAGTATATTTATAAATTGTTTGATTTAATATTTATGTGATTTCACATTTGTGTAAACCATTAAATTTTGCTCTATTTTTATCAAAATCTTTTTTAATATTATTATTAATATACATTTCATTTTGCATTTTTAAATTAAAATTTGAATATAGCAATACTATCATAATAAATTAAAAAATTTCATGTAGGAAATCTATACCTGCATAGATGAGGAGGAGTATAAAAAAATTGCAGTTTTGTTGTCTTTAATTTTATATTTCCTAATACCACAAAGATAGTCTTGTCTTTATTAACATAGTTACTCTATTCACATTATATAATTTATATTGGATTAACCAAGACATATGGAGACTTATTCTTTAACTGTAAATATGTTGAATTATGAAAAAAATGTACATTGTAGAGAGTTTGAATAAGTTCTTTATAAATTAATTTTATATTTGTTAAATGCAATTTAACAATAAACTTATTTGTAAGTATCACCTATAAATAAATACAATTTATTATTTATATTTTGGGACTAATTTCCTTTGTTCAGTAGTAATAATAAATTGGATATTGTGAAATAAGTAAAAGATCATTTGTAGCAGATTTTAATGAAATTACTCCACTTATTGTAAAATAAGTTGTGCGCGCCTAATGGGTTAAGACCTTGTATGTATAACATATTAAAAATGGATATGTTGACTGATGAGGGGCTTTATGCCCGAAACGTGCAGTTGTCACGTATCAATTAAAAAGTGATGGAAATAAAGCCAAGTGTTTATTTATAACTCACATTTGAGTTTGAAGTCCAGTAATAATAATATAAACTTGGAAAAAAATCAAACAGAAAATAATTTTAATACCAATATTAAAATTATTTCTTAAAGTTTTTTTAATCATAAATAATTAATGTATAAAGATTTAATTTGTTTTATCTTCTTGTATTTTGTATTCAACTGAAGAATAATCTGTATCTTAATTGCAAGTATTTATTTAAAAAATTAAATCTTAATCCATTGAAATGGGTCAGGGTTGTAAAAACAATGGGAGCATACCATATTTGAACACTTGGTGTCATTTCTCTGAATATATAAATAGATAATTGTCAGTCTGATAGGTCAGTTCTGTGTCACTGGCCTGTCATATAGTGTGAATCAACTTTGACTCATAATTGGAATTTAAAATCAGTATATAACCTTTCCCACCACATAACCCATATCCCTTTCAAATTATCTTTCAAACATACCTGAAATTATGGTATGTCTTTCTTATCTGGTGATGTGGAATAATTCCAAATAAAAAAGTACTAATAAATATACTATTACATTAGTCTAAAACATTTAAGTTGAATACTACCATGTCATATGTTTTTTCATAAAATAAAATGACATGTCTGTTTCTTATATTTTTTAAACAATTGCTGGAACTCACTGCCCATTGGAATCCAAATTTCAAGTATATACAGGGTGAGTTTTTTTAATCTTGAGACAATGAAATAACTTAATTGGATCTCATTATCTCAAAAAAAGTTTAGACAAAAGTTGTACGGTTTCAAAGGGACAATCAGTTGGTGACCTTGGACATGACGACCTTCAAGGTCATTTGAAAGTAAACTCTATTTTTTCAATGGGAATACATATTTTTGACCCCGGCAGTGGAAAGAGCAGGAAATTTCACAATCAGCCATGACCTTGAATATCCCAAATTTGACCTCTGAAAGTCATCTCAAGCATGATTATTTGAAGCACAGCTCAACAAATGCATCAAAGTGGAAGGGCATTATTTTGAACATTTGTTATAAAATTTTTCCCCAAAACCATTATCTCAAGAAACGGTGAGAAGTAAAGTGACTCTCTCAAAACAAGCACCCTGAGAATGAGAGGCAAGGGGACTCACAGAAAACAGTATGTTAAAGGGAGCAGAAAACTACTATGTCCACATCGTTACTCCTGGGTAGTGCTAAAAGTAGTGAATGCTTTGAAAGGACAAAGTAATAAGGTTGTGAAAAAAAATGTAAATTTTACCTTCCTGTCTATTTTAGTAATAAAAAGTATGGCTTCCATTAGAAAAAGCTTTTAATTTTAACCTTAAAATAATAGATCTTAAGAACAAGGGTATATCCGATTGAAATTTCCCACTCTTTCCATTGCCAGGGTCAAAAATATATATGCACATTGGAAAAAAAACAGACTTGACTTTGAATGACCTTGGAGGTCAAGGTCACACCAAATTGATTGCCCCTTCGAAATTCTACAACTTTTGTCTAAACTTTTTTCCAAAATAATGAGATCCATTTAAGTTACTTCATTGTCTCAAGATAAAAAACTCACCCTGTATGGTAAAAGACCTTTTCAATGTCCAAAGAAATGAGTACAGTAAACTCGAAAAATTAGACATCTTTTTAAATTTTAATTAGTGAAGTTGTAAATAGTTTTTAGTTGATAGATATAAATCATTAATAATTTGCTGTTCTGTACTTTTGTACAAGAGTAAATATGTTCTTTACTCTTGAAATTAAATATAAACTTCTATATATTGATATAATAATTTGCATCTAAAGTTAAAATAATTTTAAGAGTGTTATTTTATTTTATTGACAAAAAATTTTATATATTTTAATTATTAAAATTTTGGAAAATTATCTCATTTATAAATGTGATGATGAAATTTTTTCATTAAAATGTATATGTTGAAGAATATTTAATTATTAATTGAAAAGCATTAGAAAAGCAATTTCAGTTATAATATAATATTCCAGTTCATTATTAAGTTTTATAAAGTTTGTTTTATAAGATTGAGAAATGTTAAATAAATAAATAAATACAATACCTTTTTTTAAATTTAAGAATTAAAGCAGCATAAATTTTCAAATAGCTTTTGTTTGCTATTAAATTGAAGTTTATAATTGCTTTATTAATTCTTCTTTAAAAGATATATTTATGTTTACTATAATTTTATTCTGTATTTGTTAAGCTTATAATATAATATAATTTTGTTCTTATATTCTACTTTTGACATTTTATGCTTCATTGTGCATGGCAGCAACGATTGGATGCATTATATCTTCGCTTAAAGGTATTAAGTTACTTTGCATATGATCATCTTTATGTAATAAATATACAAAATTGAATATAATGAATGGTCTGTTAAGAATATGACTGAGTTGTCTTAATTTGAATTGATTATTAATAGATGCTGTTATATGTAGTTGTTCTATTGAAATATTTAATATTTATGTAACTTCTTTTTTAATTTAGGGTGATTTTTTTTTTTCTTTCAGTAGTTGATTTTAAAATACATGATTCATAAGATTCTAATATTTTAATAATGAAATAAAACATATTGTTGAAAGTAAAAATAATGCATTGATTATTTTAATTATAAAAATAATTGGAAATATAAATTTTTATCATTGCAAATTATATTTCAGATTATTAATATAAAATTGCAAAGAAAAAAATTTTTAAATGTGAAAAACAAACAAACTTTGTTTTTTATTTTCCTTTAGTTTGATATAAGTAATCAAATTAACTAGAATGTCTGCAATAATTAATTAATCTATCTTATTTCCCAGTATATATTCTCTATTTCAAACAGATACTTTCCAATCCTTTTAAAGGACTCTCTACATTCAAAGAACATTATAAATCATACAAATTTATTATAATATATTCTTTAGTTTAATTAATTAATAAATGCTAAAGTACTGCTTTAGAATTTTGATAAAACTTTTAGTTATTATTAAATAAATAATCTTTTCTTTTAAATTAGAATTAAATCAAATAATGTTTGTCATCTTTTTTATTGGTTAACTATCTGATAATACACAGTAATACCTGAATATATCACATACACATATATACGTGTGATATATATCTGAGAAATGTGACTTTAAACTTTAAACTTAAATTTACAGTAGAATATTCAATTTTGTATTTTGAATAATTCTAAAGTTATATACAGTAAGAAAATTTTTAAAAAGGAGTATTGTTCATTATGCAGATAAAAGGAATTACAGAAGGTTAAAATTTGATAATAAATAGTATAAAACTTAATTTTATTATGTATAATCATGTATATTTTATAATTATAAATAATACAAATACAAAAGGAAAAAAACTTTTTAAAAAAGAACCTACTTGTTAACTAAGTAATATTAATATTTTTGAAATGATATTTTTGTTCCCTTATTATAAAAATAAAAAAAACTCTTATTTATTATTATTAAATAAATAAATAAATGTAAAATAAAACTAGAAATTAGAAATATAATTATACTGTATAAATATTTAAATTTTCTACTTTTTATCAGATATATAAATAAGATATTGGATCTATTTAAATGTTTTAATTAAAAGATTAAAATGACAATAATATACTGTAAGTAATAAGACACATCTTAGAGAACATGATATTAATATAATTTAAATTAAATTTTACAAATTAAACATTATAATCCAAATTTTGTCATAATTATTATAATGAAAATATTTTCTGCCCTTTTACTATTATACTATATATCTTTGAATATTCTTTTTCTGGGTTAACATCTTAGGAATTTCTTATTCAGAAATCTTCATAATGAGCAGTTTCCAGTTGAGTTAGTAATTTTTTCTATACTCACATGTTCCTTTGATAAATTTTTGTGCTTTCTGTCCATCTTCATCGAAATGAAAATGCAGAAAGAAACAATTAATTTGATATTAAAAAAAAAATTACAAAATTTCTAAAATTATCATTATTACAATATGTTGATATATTTCTGATACTAGCACTATTACCACTACCATTATTAGTTTAAGATTAAGTGTTTATTTCTGAATAAATTAATCAATGCAAAATTTACAACTGCTTTTTTGAAAGAATAGCATCAGAATTGGGGATAAATTTTGTGACACCAATATTAGAACCTCCTTTAGATATTTGTTAGACAGTGGTGTTCGGTATTATAATTTTATATACTTTGTTTTGAAAAAAAATTTTCAAAAATACATACAATCAAAAATTGAAAATATTTTCCCACCCCCATATAAATTTAAGTTTTTTAAAATTCTCTTCTGGAAGAGATTTGTAAAAATTTACAAACTCTTTTCTTTACATCAGTTTTTATAAAAATTATTTGCAGCAAGATCTATTAATTCTAGTTAACTTTTCAAAAGTTTATATGCCTTGAACCAGTTTAAACATTGATGATAAAACACATTTGTGAAATAAATGAGTTTTATCATCATTTTATCAGGCCAGATAAATCTGTGCTATAGTTCAAGATCATAGCATAGATTTTAACTATGATCTTGAATAATATTTGGCTGTGGGCCAAAGGTTGGAGACTGACTGCCTTAGTATACTGCTAAAAGTACTTCCTTAGGCATGTAGTGTAACTATTATTTGATCAAAGATGTAATAAATGTTTATACAAAATAGTTTCTTCTCATTTTTATAGTATTTGTTCCATACTTAGTTACCTCTTGCAATGCATTTGAGAATCACTGTTGTAGAGTGATAATGCATAAATTTAAATATTGTAATTTTTTAAAATTTAAATTGTAAAATCAGAATTAAAATAAAAGTAACTATAGTAAATTTATTAATAAAGTAAATTATTCTATTTATTATTTATTAAATTATTTCTACATAATTAAATAGAAAATATTTTTTTGAATATTAATTATAAAATGCAGTAATATTTTAACGAGTTTTTTTTACTTAACATAATTTTGTCTATTACAAGTTTCCTTTAGTAATACTGTTAATGGTCAGTATAATTTTATAACAAATTATTATAATAAATTTATAATTTTACTTTTTAGTTGTTAGTCTAGTCCACTATTCTTAAAATTTTAATGACTGTAATCCCTTTTATATAAAAATACAGTTTTTCAGATTTATTCTCTGAGTTTTATTCTACCAGTATGTTATTTATTTAAAGAATACAATAATTAATTTTAGAATTTAATAACGGAATTATTTATGATATAAAACTATTCCATGAATTTATAGAATCGCCGAGTTTATAGTAGTGCAACTTCAACTCCAGAGGATGGTCCAATTAAAAGATCGATATCTGCATCTCATCCAATAAGGCAAGTCGTATGAATAAGAATAAAAATCATCTTTTTATTGATAAAGCATAAAGATAATATTCTACAATTACAACTTTAAGAAATCTTATTTTCTTTATAGCAAAACTGAAGGTGATGTTTTCAGTCTCTTTAGTCCTACAGCTTCCAGTGCCTCAACTCCTACAGGTGCACCTAGTGGAATTCAGAGTCCTACAAGTGCTGGTAGTTTGAGTATAGCACCAAGTGAAGATAATACTCCAACAGCAACAAATAGATATGCAGGTTAATTTTTTTTTTCTAAAATAATTTTATACAATTTCTTCAATACAACATTTTCATTTACTCTTAATAATCAAATATTTATCTTCTGTTAATTTTATGTTGATGTGATTTTAGTTTATTTTTCTATATCTGTATAAATTTGTAAATGAAAATTTATAAACATATAATATTAAACATTAGAGATGCTGAATAATCATGTAGTATTTACACTTTAGTTTAAATACAAAGTAAATTCTTGTAATTTTGATTTGCATGAAAATCAATTTTAAATCTGTTATTGGTATCTATATTAGTAACACTGATTTCTAGCTTGTAATGAAGAACAATATAATTTACTATAAGAAAAAATTAGAAATTATGTGTAAAAAATTTAAATGTTTAATGTAAATAGTTTTTAAATTTCTCTCTTACCACTGAAGAATCACTTACAGAATTATATTTCATTGATATTAATTCAGTATACAGTAATTCAGATCAGAGTGATTTTCAATTAACAATTTCAATCTTTGATGTTCATACATTTATCCTAGTGACAGATAAGTTTTTGCAAACTCTCCCATGAAATTATGAACCAACATTGCATGGTTGTCTGCAATTTTTATTCACTATGGAGCAATAATAAATGTTAAAAGCTATCAAAAGACACAGAAAAAATATAGCAAGCTATATAAAGTGGAAGACATATTCAACTGAACTTTGAAATAATTTTGCTTCACAATAATGCATGGTTGTATACTGCCAACAACACACAGGAATTGCTGAAAAAATTTAAGTGGGAAATCTTTGTATTGTCACCATATAGTTGCAATCTAGCATCATCTGATTTCCACCTAATTTTGCATTTAAACCTTTTTGAGAGGACAGTAATCTAACAGCAGCAAAAAGCTGCAGACAGCTTTGCAAGATTGGGTTTATAAGTTGGTGGGAGACTTTCTTGATGAGGGTTTGCAAAACTTATCTGTTGCTATGACAAATGTCTGAATCTCAAAGATGAATTTGTTGAAAAATAGTTGTAACTATGTAATTGTTTACTGTCATAGTTATACTGTTAAATGAAAATATCAGTTTAAAGAAGTAAATTTCTGTTTCTTTCTAGCCAATTGAAAATTAATTTCTTGACATGCCATGTATAATATTTTCAGAAAAACATAAAATATTAGTATGAGCTAAAAATTGAGAATTTACTAATATTTTCAGAAAAATACAAGTACGATTAAAAGTAATTGCCTTTGACATTTAGAACTGGCATTTAAACAACTGTATCACATTGTGATTAGTTTATGGATACCATTATGGAAGAGTCTTTGGTTGTTCTTCAAACCAATTTTCTACAATGTGCATCAAATCATCATTGCGCTGCAATTTGAAAAAATTGTAAACCTATAAATTCCCACTATTGTCCATCTGTATGTCTGTCCTTTCCTATTCTCGAAAACAGTGTTAGCTAGATGAAAATCAAGATTGGGTATGGGGCAGGAGGCCCCAATTAACTATATATGAACTTCCAGTCACATGATTTCATTTCAAAAATTTTCTTTACAATAGATGACCAGCATGACTGTTATCAGGAAAAGTATGATACTAATAATTTGAGATCAAGAGCATATATTTTAAATTAGATAAATTAAAAATTGCAGTGCAGCATTGTAACAATGTTAGAATAAGTTTTGCTCATTTGACATAAAATGTCTTCCTTTGGACCTCTGGAGAAGGCATTTAAAGATGGTAGTGATAAGGTGACATAGGATGACATATCAGAAGAATAAGGTGGGTGCCCAACATCTCCCAGCTGTACTTCTGCAGTTTGTCTTGGATGATAAATACAATGTAGAAACATGCATTGTCATATAATAAGTCCATGTCTATGCTGAGTTTCTCTGGTCAAATGGCCAGACTGCTCAAAGACTTCAGAGCTGCTCAAAGGCAGTTAAAGCCCATGCAATAATGATTTTCATCTTATGACTTTCAGCTGTTTTGCAACCTTCTGTAATAAGAAACTGAATCACAGTTGATCAGTTTTAGATGGATTTGGTATTGTATTAGCCATTGTTTTCTTTCTAGTATACTGCAAATCCACATGCCATATTAACACACTATTCAGAAATGTAAATCATATAAATGGACTATTAAAATCATAAATTACTAAAATCAGTATGCAATGATTTGACTTCCTGATGCCAACTTTCACAACTTTTGGCTCATTCTAATGTTTTGTACCAATTTAGTTTTCTTAGAAGTATAAAAAATTTTTTTACTTATTCAGTAATCTTAAGCAAAAATAACATATTAAACATAATTCTAGTAATAAAATAGTATATTTTTGAAATACAACTACTAAAATCTGGGTAAACTTGATACAAAGCTACAAATAATCAAATAAACCAACTATATTTTTGTATATTCTATCATATTTCTATTAAATTTTAGCAAAATATAAATTATAAATACTTTTGAGTAAAGAATGTATATTAGTTTTTAAACTATTTAATTTATATTTATTTTATATGATATAAACTGTTTTAAAAATATTACTATTTCAGCTTTAAGCGAAATCTTTGCAGAAGCTACTCAAACAGAAACATCTGAAGCATTTAAAACAGCTCAAAATGGAAGTAGGGGAAGTACGCCAACCAGTTCTATTGGACCACCAACTCCTACTGGTATTATTGGACCACCTTTGCTTCCTAGACCACCATCTAGAAGAGCTTTAGAGGTAAAATAATAAATTAAATGGCATGTATAATTTAGGTGTGTTTAATAGTATATAATTATTTTTCATTGTATGGTGCAAATTTTAGCAGGTAAATAATTTTTGTTTAATAAAATAGGTATGGTAAATTTTTCAGTAATGAAAACTTATATAATACAGGGAAAAGTATGAATTTACATCTATATATATATATAAATGAATGTATGTCTGTGTGTCTGTCCTTTATGCATTACCACACCATTTATCTGATTGCCACGAAGTTGTTTAATAAACTCCTGCAAAGGTTTCTGGCATAGTACGATTGCCATGAAGCTTTGGGAAGTTTTTTAATACACTCCCACGAAGGTTTCTGACATAGTACATTTATCCTACGATAGATGGCGCGAGTGTATACGAGCATTTTACTGTGTGTTCAATCAATTTCAAATTGTGAAGACCATTTCTCCCCTCCAAAAAATATCTCTGTATATGCATTTGTGAACTGTTATTTATGATATTTGTAATAATTTTTGTTTAATCACTATTTCAACTTTTTTTTTGCTAATTATGTATTTGCTCGAACTTTGTTAAAACCTTAACTGTATCCCAAACAACAACCGAAATTGTAGGAGGAAATTTGCCTATTTTACCGATCTAGGGATCCCCTTTTCCAAATTTTAATATCAACTCAAAATAATTTAAAAAGACAAATTACAATAAAATGGTTTATTATCCAACTATCAGAAATTTCACAACATGCCAAGGAAGAGAGGAAGGAGCAATTAAATAATTAAAATTGTAAAGGATTAAAAATATATATATAAAAACGGGGACTATCGCACTTCTGACAATTGCTGCAAGTATGTGGGCTAAATTTGGAGAATCTGTGCTTCTCGCATGGACAACTGTATGTGACCAGCTCATGCGTCGGAAAACCTTCTGATTTATTCGTGTATGCACCAGACGGAAAAACAAAAAATATCGTGTATCCACAAGCACTCCAATAAATAAATAGAATTGAAATGACACTTTGAAATGTTTTCCTGATGGAAATGAATAATAATAATAAGTTTCAATAAAAATGATAAAATGTAAATTGAATTTTATCATAACGAGTTTGCTTGAATTTTGTTTCTTCTGAGATTGCAGCAATGCACGATGGGTAAGCTAGTAATTAATATATATATATTTGTGTTCTTAATATTATTTAATTTGCTCATTATTTTAANACACACACTGTGTGTGTGTGTGTGTGTGTGTGTCACTACACTAAATTATTGCCTTTGCTAATGCACACTCAGATTGAAAGTTATGTAATATTTTAAATTTTATACAAATATTAGTTAATAATTAGCCCTTAAGCCCAAACCCGAGATATCTAGGGCAAATTACATAGCGTTACATAAAATCGGTCCTTAAGGCCATTTTTGAAATTTTTTAATTTTTGGAATGGTTTTTGTATCCAAATTTTTTGCCCGTGCGAAAAAATTTTATCGCGATTTTAATTTACCTTTAATGACGCATGCTTCACGCTTAATTGCTTTTTAATAGTTTTTTAATGGGAGTTTGATATCAAATTTTATTCATCGTTCTAAAGTTGTAGTGCACTGATTTTCCTTCGGTAAAGTTATTTAAAGCTAGTTTCTGATGTCAAAAACGACCTCTGATAGTTTTTTAATTTTTTTAATTAATAGATTTTATTATATATAAGTTTAATTAAGT